TGTCACAAAGAAAGAAAGTATCACTTCTATTCTTTTATTGTGCCTAAAAAGAGTAATGAATGAATGAAGCACAGAAATCATCACCATGTTTTTCATTTTCATTGTGTTTTTATAAATCACTGTTTTTATTTTACTGAAACATCAGTAATATAATTTTGAGTTTTCTTAAGAARATCTTACATTTATCTGACACAAGTTCAGACTGATTATTTAAACAGAGTGTTAATTGATCATGACAAATGTTCACAGTGGTTTATTTTACAGCCCAGCTAAAAGGAGCAGAGGAGATATTTTCATAATGTCTGAAAAGAAGCAGAGCAAATGACCTTCACTTCCAGCTGGCAACCCCTTATCTCTTCCTTTCTTTTGCTGACTAGAGTTTATCTAAGGCGCCGACCCTGACTAACCCGGACGCCTTAGAGACACAGAAAGAGTCTTCTTGCTGGATGCCAAAGCAGCAGGACGGAGCTGGTTCTCTCCGGAGGAACAGCTGGGCCTCAGGCTTCACCCATCAGCTAAATAGGGTGGCCTGAAGTCCAGGACAGAGGCAAGTCGCCTCCATGTCCAACTAAGAGACACACGTCTCTTTAAAGTGTTTTTGAACTCCCTGGGGGGGAGACTTTTATTTTGAAAGATGACCGAAGCCACAGCTGGAATCTTTCTGGCCGAGCTGAAACAGATGGAGAGTCACCTAAACGACACCTTCCACCAAGGACCAGCAAGGACAAGCTTCCTGGAGGGTCGTGGTGAGACAGTCTACACCAGGGGTGTACTTAAGCAGACGCACCAGGTAACGCTGACGTGTTCGGTGGGTGACGTGTCAAGTGGAAGCTGAGAGCTCAGAGAGGACGTGCTGAATCCGGTTGAAAATCTTTCAAAATTAAAACAGAAACACTAACTCTTAATTTCCTTACCTTTCCTACCTTTACCCTTGCCAACAATTAAAGTGAAGTGCCAGTACATCGTTAGTTTTAACATCAGAACTGACTTTTACTGTTTATACATAGGTAATCTAAGTTTTAATGTGAAAGAAATTCGGACGCGAGTTTTACCTCATTTTAACTTAGACGCTTGTTATAAATAGCTCACAATCAGGTGTAATTTATGATTTGTTCAATTGTGTAAATAAATGATTGCATAATCTTTTATGAATCAACTTGAACCAGTCTGAGTTCCCTCATTGTGTCACTTCACTTTGCACAGACAAATATTAAGTAATGAGAAGAAACCTTGGTAAAATTTACTCTTATAACTTGTTTATGAGAAGATGTGGGAAAGTTATTTGAATAAATAACACACCCCTACAAAGTTATTCTTTAAAATAAATTTTAAAACATCACTGATGAAGAAATTAAACTAATATTAAGTTCTTTTTCTCCTAAAGTGAAAAAAAGAAGAGTTTCTGGTGGGTTGGTCTCGACTGTGTTAAATCAATTCTAATATAAATTTTACCAGATGAATTTCAGAGTCAAGTCTGCATTTTTTATCAGTCATTAGTTTGCAGTGAAACACGTAGATTCACTTCAGATCTAAACCTTCAGTCAGGAAAATAATCCTGGAGGAGATCAGTGGACTCTGAGACTAGATGAAGTTCTTCTTTCTTCTTCTGAAAACAAATGATAACTAGAAGCTGTAAGGAGGAGTGGACAGACGTAAAGTCTTTTTATTCGAAGAAATGGAGTGAGTTACRGTAGAGCTGGAGCTCAGGGCAGATGAAACATGTCCAGGTATCCTCTGCTCTRACCACAGACTTTTCTAACAGGTTGTTGGATTTTGTTGGAAACRAAGGTGAGAGATATCTGCTGATATTTTAAGAGTTTAAGTTACATTAACTTTAATTTACTGATGAAGAAATTAATCAAAGACCAAACAGTACTGCCAGCTACTATGGCTTTTCTTCAGATAATAAAATACCTTTCAGGAAGCACAATGTTGTGTTYTTTTTTTAAACCAACCAGATTCATCCAATCAGGAYCAGCTCTGATGGGATCTTTGTTCTGATTGGATCCAAACGGGCCTTATATTAGTTTCAACCATCTAGCTGCAGTCATTCTTTATGATTAAGTCCAGTTCAAGACAGCTGTGAGCTTTAATGGTTCTAGTGCCTGTCCTGGAGAACCTTCCCAGTGTTCTGAGTACTGGTCGGTCCGATGAGTGCTGTCAAATTAATCATTTATGCACTTTTTAAAGAAACTGCAGTCAATCATGATTATTATCAGGAAGCTAACAGTCGTTGAGCTTCAGCAGCACTTCTTTAAACATGAAGGTGAAAGGATGAATTTGATCTATGTAGATAAATCTGTGAGAATCTGAGGAAATCCACAACTAATTCTAACTTTTTTCACTCATTTGAAGTTGTTGTTGGATAAAAACTGTCTGATAAACATCTGAGCTCAAAACATCACCTGGTGCCAATAAAAGTTAAGTCCTGCAGCACGCTCCTTTCTCATTCTGCTGTAGGATTTCCTGCAGCTGGACACTTATTTTAACCAAAGACTGGACCACAACCAGGTTCTTTGTTAGCTGGTTCCAGTACCAGTTCCAGTCCAGGCAAAGGAATTGGTTTGGTTCAGTAAAACATTCAGGTGTTGATGCTYGTTGATCCATGTAGTTCTTACCTTCTGCAGTATGTAGAAGTATTTATTTTTCCAATACTTTTAGCTGTCAGTATTTATTTCATGCTTTACAAACAGGTCATGTGACATTGTTTGTAGGTAGGAAGTGGGCGGGACATAAAGCCCTGCATTAGTTTACAGAAACAGCTCAGCAGCATCTGTAAACTGATTCCTGCTGCCTTTAATGCCACACACCTGGTCTCTCACTGWCATATGTTCATTTTGTGCACGTTGATGTTTTCTCTTCCAGCGGTGGAGCAGTGGTTGACCAACAGGTGGGATTCCCTGCCAAGAGCACCTGCTCCCTAACAGGTGTTTTCACAGCTCACCTGGCTGTTTCCACCGTGTGATCATGGTGTGACCCTAACAGGAAGTGGAGAAAGAMCGACACACAGACTCGAGCTGTAACCTTCAGAACTCACATGTCTTCCTTTAAAGTCTCCACAGTCTGTGGACACCTGGGCCAGTCCTGGAGGCAGAGTCTGAGCCATGTAGCCCAGGTAGGCAGCCAGGACCAGCAGAGTCAGAACGCCCAGGCAGATGAGAACGATGCAGCGTTTGGACAGAACCAGGAAGGGACTGATGTACTGCCGGTGATGAACGTACTGCACATCATCTTCTTCTTCCTCCTGCACCAAGTAACGGTACTCATTCCTCTCTGGGACTTCAAACACATCCTCATTCATGTTGGCTCTGAGAGAGAAAACAACAAAYGTGTGTTTGTCTTTGAAACACAAAGGAGACAAACTACCACAGTTTTTATTTTTGTATTTTTATATTTTTGTAAATTATGTTTCATTTGAATATATTCTGGGGATTAAAGGGGCAGACATAATACGATTTATTCTTCTTCTGCTACCTTTGATTTTATTTTGATTTGTGTATTTTATTGGTTTTTTWATTGTATATAGTTATTTTTTTAATGAAATAAATAAAATGTCTGAATTGAATTGAAAATTATGGAACTGAAAACAAAAAACACTYATTGGTTTTTGTCCTTCATTAATAATCATTTATTTGTATATAAATAATACTAAGTATGTGTGTGTGTATGCTTATTAATGTGTGTTTGCTCAGCTGTGTGTGAGAGGCCAGCTGCTGGGAGCTGGTAAATTATGTACAAATAAACCTTCATGTCTGTGAACTGGATCAGTTTCCTGCACAGAAATCAGGTTTTCAATAAAACATCTTTCTTTCACATGCAAGGGTTTAAAATGCTCTTTAAAAGAGGCACCGCTGGTAAAAAGACACGAACTGTTCAAGTCAAAACTCGGTTCCACTCATTAGGTTTGAGTCAGGAAGGTTCCAGGTGCAACTACAGAGCTGGAGTAAACTGGTTTGTACCCAAAACCAGTTTTTAATTTGATGATAGGATTTTTCTGAACCAGTTTAAGCAGCTTCAACATGTTCAGAACGTTACGTTGCACCTGTCAGTGAACTGTTTCAGAGGGGACACTTTTCACCGCTGCACCACTGTGATGTGGTTGGAGCAGCTTCTACAGGTTTATATATTATAACCAAACAAACTTTAGTTTATTCCCCAGGTTCAGACAGAACTGTGACCATGAAGCTGCTGCATGATCAGAGCTGCATCAGGGCTGTCAGATTTAAAAAAAAAAACTATTTTTTGCTGGTCTTTTTCATGCATATTTTCACCAAAAACACACCTTATCTTACAGCACTCTGACTGACTGAGTCATATATATATATATATATACACACCATACCTGCTGTTTTGACTCAAAATATGATGATTTTAAAGGGACAATAAAACCCTTTACTACTGGTAATCCTGCCTGCTACATGACTGCAGTGGTTCCATGGAAACAGGTCAGTTTGTGTATTCGTCCCAGTAAAGGAGCGTTTACAGAAACTGGTCTCATGTAAACTGGGCCTGAAGGCCAGCCCAGACATCCTGCACAGGAAACTCTCTCAGGCTGCTTGGATCTGCTTGAAGGAAGAAGTGAAAAATTATTAAACAGATTCTGACATCTTCTGTCATCCAAGAAGGTTTCCAGAGTTCTGGTCCGGTCCTGTCTGGGTTCTAATGTCATGAACCTATTAATGCACAATAATCAAAGTATTTATAAATGTGTGTACTTCTACAGCTGACTACATTCTGGGGTTTTGTGTCAAACCTCCCAGATTTCTTCTTCTTTGTGTTTGCAGAGGCAGACAGCAGAAAATACTGCCTCCATGTGTTCATGTGTTGTACTGCAGCTGGTGATGGTTGTTGTGTTTTTAGTTATTTCTTCTGCAGTTTATTGGTGATGAAAATTAAGCTTTATTTCAACAAGCTACAAAACATGTTAGCACTCAATAAATACAAAAATATMACATTTTATCTAAACTCTGGCTGAGTTTCAGACAGTCTGATCTGTTTTTTATGGGAGCAAAACAAAACATTTTCTCTTTGACTCTTTGATTAATCCTTTTTTTCTATTTAGTTTTACTATTAGTGTCTATTTCTAATGCATTATGGTTTTAGATCACATGTTTTAGTAATTAATTAATTAATTAATTAATAAGGTAAGAGTCATTTCCTGCTTCTAAGAGTTTCAAATAAATGCAGAAGATCAGTTTTGTTTGTGTAGCAGAGTCCTCAGAGGTTTTCTGGATTTCCACAGGTAAACCACATGTTTTCTGATAATTATCAGATCAGGATGTTTTGTTTTGACCTCTGCTGAAGGCTCGTGTCGCGTAGAAAACCAGTCAAACCAGACACAAAAATAAATAAATAAATAAATCAAAAACAGATACAAAACACTGGGAAAAAAACAAGCAACTCTGCACAACCACATGCCCCAGCCTGTTCAAACATTATAAATCAGTTTAAACAGATTTAAACCTGTTTATCTGATATAAATCTAACGTTTCTAAAGGAAAGTATAAAGACTAAAAAGTGTTTTCCCGCTCCTCCCAGGTGAACCGGCTCCATCCTGACTCTGTAAGCAGTTCATAAAGTCAGAGGACAGATTAAAGTCKACAGAAATACTTACAGGTCATTTAAATCCAACACTTTGTCAGGAAACTCTCAGCAGTTCAGCCACGGGCGGAGCGCAGTGCGCATGCGCAGAACTCTCAGTGACGGGCGGAGCGCAGTGCGCATGCGCAGAACTCTCAGTGACGGGCGGAGCGCAGTGCGCATGCGCAGAACTCT